AAAAGTAAAATACCTAAATCATGTTAAGAAATAAGGATAAAAAAACTGAAAACTTAAAAGTTAAAGGCAAAATAAAATGTATACTCCACTTGCTGAATTCCAGTCTTCAGTGATTCAGGAAGTTTCCCTTTTTGTTGTGTAGGAGTTTCCTAAGCATGATTTACATATGCTGTTATGCTTAGTGCATTTCACCGGTAACATTTTTGCTAAAGAACAAAAGATGAGGAGGAGGAGGAGCAGGATTATAGACGCTGGCTTTGCCCACACAGAAAACACCTTGCGTTTAGTAAGCCCGAAAGTCAGCTTCTTCGCACGCTTCCTTTTGCAATGGAAGCAACGTCCCTATTGGTCACCTAGGAACACGTGTGTCATTTACTTTTGCCTTCTTGTTTATCCTCTTGAAAATTTTAATAGATCTTCCACTTCCAAAGAGTCAAATCTCACTTATAGTAATCCTGTAAAAGGTTTCTGAGACTGTAAATTGTCACTAAAGCAGATGAATCTGTCTATATTCATCTTTCTCCTGTGGAGTGATTGGTGGATTTGAACCACTAACCTTATTTTACTTATTTTATAACACTAGCAGGACTCTTTTGGGGACATCAATAAAAAATTTAAGCTCACTGCAATGAAATCAATTCCAACTCATATTGACCCTATAAGAGCAAGTAGAACTGCCTCTTTAAATTTCTGCTCAGAAAGATTCATTTTTTTGTGGGAGACAAGCTAACGGGTTTGAACCTTAGCGCTAGTGGTTGGGTGCCTGATGTGTGACACCAGCACTCGATTTGGGAGATAGATGAGTACGAAATTGGAAGTAAATGACAAGGCACCTTTAGAATAAATGCACAATTAGTCAGTGAAACTTGTATGTATCTCTAGAGAAAAAAATTAAGATGCTGTTTTCAAAGTAGATGTAGCTTTCATTCTTGATAGTCTTCCATTTTATTGTAGCTATACATTGCAAGTGTGTTTCCATATTTATAGTACCTGTTATTAAGAATAAAACAAAAGAAAAAATTACTGTCATTGAGTCGATTCTGTCTCATAAAAAACCTTATAGGTTTCTGAGTCTCCGTAAGTCTTTGTACAAGTAGACAGGCTCATCCTTCTCCCACTGATCAGTAGTGGGTTTATACTGCAGAGCTTGTGGTCCAAAGTTAGCCCAAGATCACCCCCAGGGTTCCTTAAAGCATCTATTATATATTTTAAAAAACAAAACAAATGAACAAAACCCTCACTGTCCTTGGGTTGATTTGAACTCACAGTGACCCTTGGACAGAACAGCATTGTCCCCTGTGGGTTTCTGAGGCTGTGAGTGTTGACTGAAGTAGATAGACACATCTTTCTCCCTCAGAACACCTGATGGTTTCAAACTGCTGACCTTGTGATTAGCAGCCCAGTCCATAGCCTACAATGCCCCCATGGGTCCTAGAGCCAATTATGGAGCTTTAAAATTCACCAAATTTGTTCTATACATGAAAGAAGGAATGGATGATTATTAAATGTTTGAATATTAATTAAATTCACAGTAAAATTTACCAAGTTGTGTTTACACTATGAGAAGGAAGTGATTTGTTGGAACTTTTCTCATGTATTATAAGTACAAATTTATTTTGGGCCAGAAGATTTAGTCATTAACTTCTGTTCTATTTATAAGAAAATAGATTGAAGACTTAATCTGGCTTTATATAAAATGGTGATGACAACATATTGATGATAATAATAAAAACCGTATTGAAACACAATTGTAATATAAAAGTGTTTTTTTTTTAATAACCCCACATAGATTACTACATTAGGCGTGAAAAAGTAGGTGATAAGATCTAGAAAAAAATTATCACTTAATTTCACTTTGCCTTAAATTCAAAGAGGATGAACCAAAAAGAAAAATATCAGCCTTAGTAATATAAAACTAATGAAAACTTCCAAAGGGCCTCTGAGGAAGTTGGGTATTCCAGTGAATAATCACATGTCCTCCATGCACCTTTGAAATCAAGCGTAGAGATGTGGAAAGAAATAATGACAGAATCGTTTGTACATTGACTATACTTTGTTCCTGGATTACTGTAGTTGTTAGGTGCTGGTAAGTTAATTTTGTCTAGAACTCTGTGTGGCAGAATAGAACTACCCCATAGGGTTTTCTAGGCCGTGAGTAGGACTGGAAACACTCGCTCGTGATGACCAGGATTGCAGCCTGCAGTATAGGTTGCAACTCGTTGTAAAGAAGACTAAAATTCTCACAACTGGACCAATAGGTGGCATCACAATAAACAGAGAAAAGATTGAAATTGTCAAAGATTTTGTCTTGCTTGGGTCTACAATCAATGCTCATGGAAGCAGCAGTCAAGAGATCAAATGACAGTTACGTTAGGTAAATCTGCCACACAAACCATCTTTAGAGATTGAAAAGCAGAGATGTTACCTGGAGGACTGAGGTGCACCTAACGGAACCATGGCATTTTCCCTTGCCTCCTATGCGTGTGAAAGTCGGACATTGAAGACGGAAGACTGAAGAAGAAGGGATGCACTTGAATTGTGGTGCTGGTAAAGAATATTGAAAGTACTATGGACTGCTAAAAGGACAAAGAGATTTTTTTAAAATCATTTTATTGGGGGCTCGCACAACTCATCACAATCCATTGTGTCAAGCATACTTGTACATTTGTTGCCATCGTCATTCTCAAAACATTTGCTTTCTACTTGAGCCCTTGGTATCAGCAGCTCCTCATTTTCCCCTTCCCTCCCTCACACACTCCCTCATGAACACTTGATAATTTATAAATTATTATTTTTTCATATCTCACACTATCCAACATCTCCCTTCATCCATTTTTCTGTTTCCCTGGGGGCGTATATGTAGATCATTGTGATTGGTCCCCCCCTCCATCCCCACCTTCCTCTTCCCCTCCTGGTATCTTTATTCTCATTATTGGTCCTGAGGGATTTATCTGTCCTGGATACCATGTGTTTCCAGCTCTGATCCGTACCAGTGTACATCCTCTGGTCTAGCCAGATTTGTAAGGTAGAATTGGAATCATGACAGAGGGAGGGGTAGGAAGCATTAGAAAACTGCAGGAAAGTTGTATGTTTCATTCTTGCTATATAGCACCCTGACTGGCTCATCTGCTCCCTGCGACCCTTCTGTAAGGGGATGTCCACTTGCCTACAGATGGCTTTGGGTCTCCAGTCCCCACTCCCCTTCATTCACAATGATAAGATTTTTTGTTCTTTGATGCCTGATACCTGATCCTGTCGACACCTCGTGATCACACAAGCTGGTGTGCTTCTTCCATGTGGGCTTTGTTGCTTCTGGGCTAGATGGCCTCTTGTTTATCTTCAAGCCTTTAAGACCCCAGATGCTCTATCTTTTAATAGCCGGTCACCATCAGCTTTCTTCACCACGTTTGATTATGCACCCGCTTTGTCATCAGTGATCATGTTGGGAAGGTGAGCATCATGGAATGCCAGGGACAAACAGATCTTTATTGGAAGAAGCAAAGCCAAAGTACTCCTTAGAAGCAAGGATGACAAAACTTCATCTTATGTACTTTAGACTTGTGGTCTAAACTTGTGACAAAACTTCATCTTACATACTTTACACTTGTGGTCAGAAAAGGCCAGCCCCAGGAGAAGGACATCATATCTGGTAAAGTAAAGGGGCAGTCAAAAAGAGAAAGACCCTCTAGGAGATGGATTGACCCAGTGGATGCATCAATAGGGTCAAGCATAGAAACGATTGTGAGGATGGTGCAGGATTAACTTCTCCACAACATAAATGATCTTATCCGCTCTTGCTGACTCAAGATGGACTCATATATTTGTCCCTTCTCTTTTGCATCATTCTTCCCGCTGCCCTAATCTATTAGCTCAACATACTAAATATCAGACAAATACTGTGTGATGTTGCCTTCCTTGAAACAAGCAAAACTTCAGTAACCCATATTCCTTACCTGCCACTGGCTCGTTTCTGTCAGGCATGAAGGTTTCTATACTATTTGTATTTCTATGACTACAGTTAAATGAAAGGATTAGTCTTATTTTTAATGTACTTTATGTGGTCCATATTTTGATGTATATTTATAAGGAGAAGCTGGTGGTGCTCTGAACTAGACAGGCTGCTAACCACAAAATAGATGATTCAAGCACACTAGCTGCTCCATGGCAGAACGATGAGCCTATCTGAACCCATAGAGATTGACAGTCGCAGAAACCATGCATAGGTTTGCAGGAGCAGGCGGCGTTTTGGTCTGTTGTTGATAGGGTCGCTGTGAGTCGCCACCAACCCAACAGCACCTAATAACAACAACACGAATTGAAATGGACTCAGTGGCAGTAAGTTTGATTTGTTTGTTTGATTTGTTTTCTTGGTTATAAAGATACTAAAACTGTTAATATTTTCTTCTCTTAATAGTATGGCAACTATAATAATCCAGGCTTACTGGCGGGGTTACATTGTGCGCAAACATTTTTCTACGAAACTACATACTGCTGAAACAGAACCCATGAAATCCCAGCCAAATTCCCACATCAAGAACCAGAATGTAAAGGAAGGACAAACAGAACATATGTTCAATATCCAAGAACAAAGGGAGAAGGCTGCTATTCTTATTCAGGTTGGTCTCAGCTTTCTGATAACAGTACATTACTCCACTTTCACTGAGTTATTCTGGTGAGCAAACAACCCCCCAAAGCAAGCAGCGACTTACAGATTTAAGGATTTACTTCTGACTCATAAAAGCCATTGCTGTCCCGTGGTTTCGGACTCCCGTTGGTTCTGTATGGCAGAACAGAACTTCTCCAAAGAGTGTGAAGGCTTTGTGGGAGCAGACTGTCACATTTGTCTCTTTTGCAGTGGCTAGTGGATTCAAACCACAGACCTTTTGGTTAGTAACCAAGTGTTTAAACATTATCACTCAGGTTCATTTCTGACTCATATGGCATGTAAATTATAGATTGACTGTGTGCGGCCTGTGCTTCCATTTATTGTGTAGGCTGAAAGAGAAATACCAAAATTGAATCATGGCTAAGGGCCAAGCAGATCCACAAAATCATATTTAAAACTATATTCATATGTATCGCGTCTGCTACCATTTGATTAACCAAAGCTAGTCACTTGCCTAGCTCAATAATGAGGTGGAAAATATACTCAATGTAATGAAAAGCAATGTAAATTACATAGCAAAGGATAGGAAGCCAATGAGATTGAAAAATATGAACATAGATTCTCAATATTCTTTGGTATTTTCCATAAACACTCTGTGATTACCCAACCCATTATAAAAACAGGGAGGTTTCAGTTCCTAATGCCTTTGTCTTTTGAATTATTTATTATTTAATAAAAAATTGTAAAATATAGAATTTTGAAAACCACATCTATAAATCCTGTGAAGAGTATCTGAAACTTAAAAGAACACAACTTTAGAAATTGAGGCTTTAATATCATTCTGTCCTTTAAATGAAAATAACCCTATTGAACTGGATAATTTGGTGATAATAGGAACTTAAGAGAAAAAAATTATTTGAGCTAAATTGCTAAATATCCACTTTATTTACCCTAGCTGAAGGAACTTGAAACGTTTTGATTAACATTGGTCTACAGTGACACCTAAGAACACATTTCAAAATATATAAAAAATATTGTCAATTTTTTCAAATATCCATTATATTAAATAACTACAAGGCAGTAATTATTAGAAGAAGTTAAAAACCTTGACTGAATCTTCACAGGACCAGATTTTGAAATAAAGATCAATCTGATCACATTAATTCTTTCATTGATTTATTAACATTTTTTATTGTATACGTTTTCCAGGCATTGTTCTAGGCACAGGAAACATAACTGTCAATATCCCTGCCCTCACAGATTTTTAAGTCTAGTGGAGGAAGCAAGTATCCAAGGGAGTACTCCCCCAAATGGAATCTTTTTTGTCAAAGCTATGTATTTATTTGAAGGTAAATACTTTAAATGATGATAAATAGTGCAGGAAAATAAACCGGAAAAGGTGAGATGTGCGTTTTAGAAGGAAATCCATCATTTTATATAGGTAATGTTATGGACAGAATTCTTTCCTCCAAAACTATGTGTGGGAATATTAACCTGTGAATGGAATTATTTTAGGGGAGAGTATTTTTTAGGTTAATGAGATCATATTAGTGTAGGATACATATTATATCTAGTTACTTTTGAGTTTTGAAAGCGCCCACTAGACACAGAAGGATATATATACTGGGGAAGATAGATTCCACAAAGAAATATCAGTGCTACCAACAAGCTTCAAGCTTCTCTGGGAGATGCTGATGGCCTCAATTTGGATACTAGACTCATAACCTTTGATAAAACTTATGTCAATGCTTTAAATCCACTCACTTGTGTTATTTTTGTTACAGCAACACTAAAAAAATAAGGCAGATAGATATGGAAGATTAAATAAGGTCTTGTGCAGTGATAGCTTAATCCATTGGCTATCTGGGGAACCATTATTTTAGGCAAAGCAAGTATTATATTCCAAACCCAGATGCTGGAGCCTAACTACAGTGTTTAGGGAGCCTAGGAGGTAGGTGTGCCTGGATGAGGGGGAGAAGAATATGATTTATAAATTACAGGTTATGGTAAATACTTTAGCTTTTACTAAAGCTATTGAAAAGGTTTTAAGAAAATAGCATTATATTCACTAAAACCAAAGGGGAAAAAACATGGGAGGCCATTTGTCTTAGCCTGAGTTCTCTAGAGAAGCCAAGCCAGTAACTTGATGGTGCATAACCACAACAACAGCTTACACTTACGTAGACACACAGTGAGAGAGCACATGTATGAGCAAGCAAGAGGGAGAATGAGAAAGGAATAAATATCAAGAACATGGCTTACCCAGTTGTAAAAGCAGGCTAGTCTCAACCCAAGCAGATTCCAAATTCATAGGTCAGATGTTAAGCTGAAAGTATCTTCTAACTTGTGTAACTGAGTGCTGACTCATCCAAGATATGCAGAAAGAACTCTGGCTTGTGGCTGCATAGATGAATGAATCTGTGGCTACAGATTCCAAGGCTTTTAAGGTTGGCAGGTAAAATGGCATAATTCTGATGACTCCCAGGATAGGCAAGCAATATGGAAAACCAGTGGATCAGATCCAGACAACTGGAGATTTATGAGCTGAGCTAGATGCAAGATCCAGATCTAGCAAAACCAGAATAAGCATTTCCACAGCCTCTTTATATTGGAAGGAGGCCACATCCCTGAGGAAGCTTCCTTTAAATTGAACGAAGGCTGACACCTGATGCAATTATTGTATTATGTTTGGTAAGGTCATGGGGATCACTAGGTGTTAATTGCCACGCCACTAAGAATCCTGGTCCAGCCAAATTGGCACAGAACTTTAATTATCACACTATTGGAGGAATGGGAACATGTACTGACATGATAATATTTATTTATGTTGTTAGACTGTACGAGAGTGTGATAGATTTTGTGACAAAATGGCTGAAATTCTTCGTAGTTAAGGCCTCCTCATAATGTGACCTAGCATAATGTAAATAACTCTATGATGGGATCTACTGTGAGCAATCAAGCAGTTGTGGGAAGAATAGCATGGATCACAAACCTTTTACGCAGTTCACAGCCTCTGATATGTGACCTTCCTCCTATAGATAAGTAGATGCTGTGGAGAACTTCCTCACTTCTTGCTGGTCTGGATCCTGCTACTTGCTCAGCAATATCCATTTGTTGGGACTTGAACCAATTCCCCTATCACCTTATGATTCTGGGAACCATAAGAGCCAAATATCTGACTTGCCAATCTTGGACTCATTAGCCTCTGCATCTACCAGCCATGGTCTCCCTGCTTTGTCTTCCTTGTTCATATCCTGCTTCCTGGTTCATCAGCTCCAGTAGCTACACATGTTGGAAAATCCTTTAGCTTAACATTAGACACACAGACTGGAATCATATTATGAGCCACTGCATTAATAAAAAATTTCTATAAGGTTTTATCTATCGAGCTATCTATAATCTATCAACTGTCTGTCTATTGATCTGTTACTGATTTTGCTTCTCTATAGAGTTGAGACTAAGAGAAAGCAAAAGTAGGAGTAGCAAAACCAGTATATGATGGATCTTGGTTTGATGTGTCCAGACAAGAGTTGATGATGCCATGACCAAGGTAGTACAGTAAAGATGAAAAGGAATATCACATTCCAGAATATATTTTGAAGGTTGATAATATTAGTGCATAGTGAATGAGGTGGGGAGTGCGGAGTGGAGACCCAAAGCCCATTTGTAGGCCACTGGTCATCCCCTTACAGAAGGGTCTTGGGGAGGAGACAAGCCAGTCAGGGTGTGATGTAGCAATGATGAAACATACAACTTTCTTCTGGTTCCTAAATGTTTCCTCCTCCCCTACTATCATGATCCGAATTCTACCTTACAAATCTGGCTAGACCAGAGGATGTACACTGGTACAGATAGGAACTGGAAATGCAGGGAGTCCAGGGCCGATGATCCCTTCAAGCCAGTGGTATGAGTGGCGATACTGGGAGGGTGGAGGGAGGGTGGGTTGGAAAGTGGAAACCGATTACAAGAATCTATATGTGACCTCCTCCCTGGGGGGTGGACAACAGAAAAGTGGGTGAAGGGAGACGTCAAGGACAAGGCAAGATATGACAAAATAATAATTTATAAATTTTCAAGGGTTCATGAGGGAGTGGGGAGTGGGGAGGGAGGGGAAAAATGAGGACCTAATGCGGGGGGCTTAAGTGGAGAGCAAATGTTTTGAGACTGATGATGGCAATGGATGTACAAATGTGCTTTACACAATTGATGTATGTATGGATTGTGATAAGAGTTGTATGAACCCCGAATAAAACAATTTAAAAAAAAAGAAAAGAAATTTAGAACAACCAACAATCCAAGGCCTTTTAAAAAATTATTATTTTGAAGAAAAGTTCTACTTTCTTACTATTGAAACTACAGTATTCAAGAGAACTAACTTTGCTATAATGGAAATTAATACAGTGAATGAATTTATATGGATACATCTTCTTAAAAGCAGTGTGCAGAGAAAGTTGTTCCTGTTTCCTTAGTGGTGGTGAAAATAGAAAGAAGGCAGTGGACAAGGAAACTGAGGAAAATAAACAAATGCCAGTTACTATCTAAAAATGTTATTTTGCTACTTAATTAATGTATATGAGTTTTGGTCCAACCTACCTCCTAGCATAATTGCACTAATGTTAAATGACTATCCAACTTTTACTTTTATTTTCTAAATAAAGAGGTTCATTCAGTAGGAAACATTTTGGTTCAGTGACTGATGACTCTATTATATGGCCTTTGGGTGAGATTCAAAATTGTCCTTTTTATGTCCATAACAAAAAGTAGGAATAATTCAGCTTTTCTTTCAAGGTAGAAAAAATTTATTTATCATCATACTACATACAATCATTGAAGGCAACACAATTTAATTTTTTCTTTATAATCATCTAAATTTTAAAACAGCTGGCATAGAATATGAACCGTAGGCCACTTCGTCATCCTTGGGAGAAATATCCCTTGTTCCATGTCCTCTTCTGAATCCAGACTGAACCTCTGCTTGCTTCCTGTCAGTGTACGCTGCAATCTTTTTTT